GCAGTGGAGCACAATAGCGCGTTTTCGACAGTGACGCGGGTAAACATATCCATGGAGTCGAAATCCTTATGTAAAAAAGGGTCCTTCGTTTCTTTTATCAAATGATCCTCCTGTCACGTATTTTGCAAGTAAGCATGCAAACAGATTTGAAAAGTAATGATGGTTTAAAAAAAAAAACCCACGTATTTACAAAATTGATCATCGAATAATCCTTCGCAAGTAAGCACGCAAAAAAGTGATTTCAAAAGTAATGCGGGTGAGTTTAAAAAATCGTATTTAAGAAATTGCTTTATTTGGTTCCATAGAAAGAATGCAAAAAGATTTCAAATTAAAGTAATTATGCATGCACATAAACCATTCTCAAATCAACTCGAGTAAGAAGTGTGGATTTGAAAGCCATGACAGGACGAAAGGATTCCATCGCAAGACAGCACGTCAAAACAGGTCACAAACCAACAATCATCATCTAAGAAAATAATTTATTTGGCAACTCAGTTTGTGTGGTAACAATACACTTATTTTTGACCCTGAAAACGCGCCATAGGTTTTAAGGTGCTCTAGTATAACATGAAAGTAGAAACAAAGAAGAAGCGATAGCTTCTTAGTTTGAATTTTGGTGACGTCATGTGAATACCAAGGATAACATATAGCCTAGTAGTAGATCAACCAATGAGAATGCAGCATTGATAATAGACCACTAGTTGAATTTTACTTATAATAAATATTGGGTTGTGTTGAGGAAATATCCTGGTTAAAGATCAATCGTTTCTTGTTTCAAAAGGCGTACTCTACATATCTCTATCCCATTCTGTGGGTTAGTAGTTTCTATACTCTCAAGCCTTCAAAAAGTGTAGTTGTTATCTATAATTCCTGCAATCGGCAGCCCAAAGACCCCCCACCACGGGAATATTATTTTATGTTGAACATGTAGCACAGGACTTGTTAAATATCAGTCCACAGTTTCACATTCTTTTTTGTTCAACCTCTACCCTGGTATTTCCAGTCTATTTTTATACTATCCTTAGGGTGGGTATTGAAATTTCCTGAAACCATCACCACAAGAAAATTACAATCTTTGGCTTCCAATAGAAGTTTTTTTTTTAAGAAAAGATTTCCAGGGATTTTATGTACCTGATGGGAAGTTTCTTGACAAGATTTTCATACAATACATTATTTACTATTTTGATTGATAGGTTGAAGGGGAGGTGTTTGAGGTGTCTTGCTCTCTAGAATGCTACAGTGTAAAAGCCATTTCAGAGAGAAATGTTGCTCTCAAGTTTGCGTGTTTTCTTCTTGTCTCTGGGAAATTGTGTCCATTTTAAGGCAAGCATGAATTCATCTTTGAAAAAGGGCCCAGGCAATGCCTGAAGTTTAAGACCTGGTACAGAAATGTCAATGACCAGGTGGAACCAGAGTTGGAATGTATTAGTTTAGTCAGGGCAAGAAATGTTGATGAAAACTTTTCTACATTTGTCACTGATATACATGAAAGAGAGAATGTGTCAAATGTTTCAGCATGCACCACTCCACTGGCTCGTATCTCTGTCCCAATCCTTCCTTCTGGAACTGTGACAAGGTCACTTAAATTGACCTGCTTGATACACTGAAAACTATGTGGAGTTATTCAAGTCTTAAGCCACTTCAGTAGAAAGCCATTGATTCTATTTTATATGGAAATGATACAATGGTGATTATGCCCACAAGTGGAGGCAAGTCACTTGTTTTTCAGTTTCCAGCAGTCTGTAACCACAAACCAGCCGTTGTTGTATCCCCATTAATTGCACTAATTAATGGTCAAATAACTGACCTAAGGTTTAGTGGAGTTGAAGCTGTATCCTTTACAGGAGAGACGGACAGTACACAAAGGCAGCAAATTCTTTACAAACTGCGGTCTGGGGATCCAGAGTTAAGACTTATTTACAGCACCCCTGAAACACTGAATCGGGATGTTGTGTTTTAAAGAAATTGTGAAGACAGTGGGTGAAAAAGATTTGATTTCTTATCTGATTTATAATGAGGCACATTGCATCAGCTAGTAAGGCAATGGTTTCAGGCCTGACTATTTAGCTGTTGCAGAAATGAGTAAGATTCTTGTACCAAAAGCACCCACTATCTTATTGTCTGCAACAGCACCGCAAGATGTTATTGCTGACATAAACAAAAAATTAGATTACAAAATTTAAATATTATCCAGGGTAGCTTCAATAGGCCTAATCTTTCCTATGAGATGGAAGAGAAACGGAAAGACACTGAGAAGAATATCATTCAGGTCATCTCTTCCAGCGAAAGTGCCCTGATCTATTGTTCTACAAAGAGGGGATGTTAGGAAGTAAATGCTCTTCTTGAAAGCAAGGGGATTTCAAGCAAGCCATATCATGCGGAGCTTAGTAAGGCTTTAAAAGAGAGCCTTCAGAAAAAATGGACCAAAGAAGAGATTAAGGTACTGTGTTATACCACTGCTTTTGGCATGGGTATAAACAAACCGAATGTGAAAGTGTTAATGTTTCACTCCCTCCCTTCATGCATGGAGGACCTTTTCCAGGCCTGGGGTCGTGGTGGCCGTGATGGACTTCCTGCCAAATGCTATTGGTATTTTTCATTTGGAGACAGATTTTTCAACGTAAGAAACATTTTTGATCAGCACAATTTTGATTCAAAAAGGCAAACTTCCTCTCTTTTACGGTTTCAAAGGGTCTTAGATTTTGTGATGTTTAAGGAATTTAGACAGAAAAAATTAATAACATTTTTCAACCCAGAGGAAGCTGGTTTGGCTCTATGTGATGATTGTGATATTTGCAAAGATTCTGTGGCAAATACACCTCTTACTAACGGCTACACACCACAAATCACCAGCATTATTGAGTTTCTTCAGGTTGTGGAAAGGCCCATCACTATTAAGTACCTGGCTCAAGTTGCATCTGGAAAAATGAATAACAAAATTAGAGAAAATAGAGATGAACACTCTTCAATTTTTCAATTTTCAAGTGTACTGTTAATGCATGTGAACTTTTCTTGCGACACGCTGTGACAAAGGACATACTAAGAGAGGTGCCACCTGCACATGGAGTGAACAATCGTCCCTACTTGCCGCTGAAACTTGGAAGCCAGTACTTACAGTATGTTAGTAAACAGACCAAGTTAATGTACCATTCCTTGTAAGGCTTACAGGTTGGTGCCTGCATTACTGTCTCAACTGCTGATCCTTAAATTACTGTTGACCATTGACACCCCAACACCTCCAATTGGTTATTGTCTGGAATTAAATGGTCACAGCTAGAGTTTAAGGCTAATTTGTCATCACTTACAGGCCAAAATAAAATTCAAATTACAGTGTAAGGCTATGAGACAAAGAATCAACCTAGGTTAAAATATTTTTACCTGAATAATTATAATTTTGGCCTGTATCACTTAATGTATGGTAGAGGTAATTGGTCCACTAAGCTTTGTCTGTTAAGGATAATAACCAACATGCCTGAGTATTTTCACTCAGTAGCTTTCTATACTCTATGCCTTTAGCATTGTTTTTACCGAGGAATACATGTAGTTCATGTGAGGGAAACTTCAATTATCAGTTACAAAGTGTAAGGCTGTAGTAGGGAAAAGTCTGCATTTCATCTCGTTAAAATGTTTTTTGAACAGCTCTACTCCCCGCAACTATGCATTCTGGCAGTCTTTGCGTAACTTCTGTTTCACTGATGGCAACTCCTTGTTGTTTGTTGGGTAGGTGGGAACTTCCTTCCTTGGTCTTGTAGCCTTTTCAGCATTGTAAACCAAAATGACCCCAAAATAGGCATTCAACTCGGAGATGACATCGTAATGGGCATTATGGGCCAGGAGGAGGAGTTGCTGTTTGGCAGGAGGTCCACAATGCACCATGGCATTGCCGTGGTCGGCGGACACCACCAACACTTGATAGGGGGTATGCATGATCTCGAATTGACAAATCTAGGACAGACCGCGGGACTTTCGTGGACTTAAGCCAATCGATGCAGTTCAGCGGCCTATTTCTCTTGGAAGACAGTCCCGGCCTTCGTGGAATTGTAGTCGAGTAATTTTTCGTTACTTTGAACTTTTTCTTGGTGCGCCCGCACCGTCACTTCCAACTGCTTGTTTCATAGTTACCTTTGTTTGCATTCAATGATGTTAGACAGTAATGTTTAAAGGCCCTGTTTTTATGCTGTATAGAATAGATAAAGGATGCAAACTAATCGTTATTCACCACATTGGCAGGTCCACCATGAACAGTACCTCGGTCTAGGCTGAAAGGCCTTTCACAGACTCAGTGACCTTGGCACATGATGGCGTTTTGCGAAACATCCAGTTTAATGATAAAGTGACGTGTGTTTTACCCGCTAAACCCTCTAAAAAATTGAAACTCCTCATTACATTAAATTGGCAAGCACAACTAAATTGCATAAGAAGCCAAACAAATCCCAAGTTTCTCTTGTTTAAGAAGACAAACCCTTGTGTCAATTTTAAAATGTCACAGACTAAATTCCTTTCTAGAGAAACAAATCTTTGCTTTAAGCTGAAGCGATCCTTTAATAATAAGAATGTGATCGATGTCACCTTGTGCTTTATACTAAAACTCTGTGTTGAAAATTTTTAGCAGCCAGTGATATTGAAATATTTGATGCATTGTCATGGAAGTTAAGACAAACGCTGATCCAGTTAATGCTCTATTAAGTGGTTGTTGTAAGAGGATGCAGGGGATAAGGTAGGAGGATGAAGGTAGGGGTTCTTGTAATTAAGTAAGGGCCAGTAAAGGGTGGCATCATCAAGCTTGGTCCCAAATAATGCTCTATTAAGTGGTTGTTGTAAGAGGATGCAGGGGATAAGGTAGGAGGATGAAGGTAGGGGTTCTTGTAATTAAGTAAGGGCCAGTAAAGGGTGGCATCATCAAGCTTGGTCGCAAAGGAAACAATGAGGAGCACTTCGGAGTATGTCCTCCTATCGCCTCCTCCTGTACTGACGTTTTGGTCTGTGATGCTCCCTTTCTCTCACAATGAATTAACCTCCCAGTACTGTTTTCTGCTGGTGGTTTTCATGTCAGCATCAATAGGATGATGAGGAAGAGGTAGCAGGTGCATTGTTTTATAGGCGCTCTTCTTCAGAAGGGCCATTTCTGCTGGACTATTTGATCCCTTGTCAAAAGCAATGACCATTGTCCTTTCATGGTCACTGGATTGGCAAAACACATCGACTTGTTGGTGGTAAGCCTGCAGAGAAATGCGGTTGTTCCGAGCTTCCTCGCTATCCAAAATTGTCTTCACTGACTCTGCAGAGCATCTTTGCAGGAGCGACGCACCTTCATGATAGGCGTAATACCTAGAAATGTGTTGGTATTTTGATACTGCATTCAACAATTTTGGTTATTACAGTCTAATATTATTTGGTTGGTTACATTATGTTTAAGATGGATACTTTATTTTCTCCCCTGTTCTCCTTTTAAACAAGCACTATGTAGGAGGGGAAGAGTACAGCTCCAAGAACAGACTTTGTCTGTTTTTGTTGTGAAGGCAATTGAATTCCCTTCACTTTGCGTTCCCAGACCACGGGTCCAGTTGGTAACCCAGTATTGACACCACTGCAGAAATCTGGAATACCAGTACTGGTGCTTATCTCTGCACCGGTGAAGACAATGCAGTATCAAGTTTGTCGGATTAAGTGTTACCAGCCTCGGCCTCCGAAATTGCAGTAATATTGAGGGGGCCTAATTAACAAATTTGGCCTCCTTGCCATTAATTTCACTATCTTTTTTCTTTTTACTTTTTGTGCAGCAAATAAATAAAACACAAAGGAAGAAATTAATCTCAATAAGAAAATGGTGCACGTTGTTGGATAAAATGTCAGTTAAATGATTTGCCTGTGCCGTTAATTTTTTTCTTCATCTCTGACAACCTTAATAAGTTTAATGCAAACATTATGAGTTTTTGCTGTGTTTTCAACTGTTTCAACTATCACCCCTAACAACAACAACAGTTTTTTACGTCTACAGTGAAAGCTTCTTTCTCTGTCTTTCTTTGTCAAACTAAAATGCAAGGACGTTGCACCATATTTTATCTTGCTCAATCGTGATATTATTTTCTTCTTCCGGTTGAGTTGTCTTGTTCTCGATGGGGAGGGTGAGGGTTTCGTTCGCGCGGTTGTTGTGCTTTCTTCTTCTCCACCCATCTTTGCTGTTTCTGTTTCAAAATCTCTTCTCTATGTTTCACGTACCACTCGTGTTTCCGCTGCTTCACGATTTCAGGATCTCGGTTAGGCATGATGAAACTGGTTCATGTCAAGGGGGTTGGACTTGATTTGGCCTTGATTTGTCTGGCCTTTGCATTGCCTTTGTCTTTGCTACGTCTTCAGTATGCTTTCATTGCATCGAGTTCTTTCAATTCATTCTCGTTGGCACCCTTGGATATTTCGTTTTCCTCACATTAGACTCTTTAGCAGAGTAAAATAGAATGGCCTTGGATGGTTGGTTGTCCCTACCTGCCCTGCCACTCTCTTCAACATAACTTGGTAATGATGCAGGTGCCCTAAAATTCTTCACTTCGCAAATATCTGGACAGTTCACCCTATGCTAAAGGCAATCGAGGCAATTACAATCCGAAGACACCCATCTCTCGCCCTGAATGAGTTCAGAATTCTCTTCTTACAAGGTACACTGGTAATTTCCACATAGATATCAACTAGTCGTTCTTTTTTATCCTTGTCAAACATGAGCTGGCCTAACCCCGTTTCAAAATATTCGTAAACTTCACAACAGTGTCTGTGACTGAAATAAATAATCCCTCAGCAGAAATGCCATTTTCTTTGAGGTCTTCAGTTGTTGATTTGAAACACTTTGCAAAGGCTATAATCATTGTCTTGGAATGTATCAAGTCTTGAGACAGAATAGAAAATATTTTTTCTATTATTTGAACCTTTAATAAGTGAAAAATCTATGGTTCAGTTACAGTTGCTGTCAGTGGCATTAGTGGTTATTTTGGAAGCAAAAGAGCTGTTACATCTCAGGGGTTATCATAGGCACTTCTAAAGTATTTGCCCCTTGAAGAAAGAGGTTAAAATGCATATATCAGTGTTTTTGTAATTTAATGAAGTTTTAACGTTTACGCCATACAACAAAGTTCATGTTCGTATGCTGTGGATTGATTAGTAACAAAGCAATTTAAATGCTGTCCGCTTGGACAAACCTACAAAAGTAATAACAAAAAAACAAACATTTACAGTAAAAAATTATGATCATAAAATACCACTGTTCGATATAATGCGCTTCGTCTATGGCTATGCAATGAATCCATTCCTTCGCTGACCTAAGTGCAGTGTCCTTATGACAACACACTCAAAAGACTCAGGTGAAAGAATGGCCACCTGAAAATCCCCACCTCGCAGCCTGCGCGTGCATTTTTCAAATATGTCAGGTCTAAGTGGTAGGTACGACAGAGAGCATTTGCATGTTTCACATATTTAATGTACCAAGCTGATATAAAGACAATTTTTGATCGTCCTTCAGTGGTGATATTAAAACCAGAATACTCCTTTGCTCCTTTCTCGTCACACCATGACAATTGTCGGTAATAAGAGGACACAACGCGTAGCACAGTCCTACCACAACCAGTGGGCAAATTTACAACCATGTCTCTTCCCTTAAGATAATCCTTGACAGCGTAAATTTGGTCCTTTTTAAGAAGAAACTTCAGTCGACAAAATGAAACGGCCGAACTTAATGCATCCATAAATTAGGAAAAATTTCTTTGTACTTTTCATTCACTAACGAGTTAGAATCCACCATATTGAAGCACTGTGGTTTTCCAGATACACTCATACGCAGTGACAATAAGCTAGAAAAGTAGCTAAAACTACGGCGCATGCTGATATGTGCAAACAGTTGTCCCCGTGACAGAGAGAGAGGGGCCAGAACTAGACTATACAAGACAGTGCTGTTCATGCAGCTATGTTGTTTGACAAGTACATCCACTGATCAATGAGAAATTTCTTTATGCACAATAAGGTCCTGCATTTTCATTTTACTTCAGCTGGCCCTTTGCTTGAAGACACGGAATTGATGGTTCAACAATTTCTTTGCAATGACCTCCGTTAGCTCTGAAACTGTAAAGTAGCTAATCAAAAATCTAGATTTGATGTAAAGCAAAGAAATTTGGCCTGGTTTTTAAAGAAAAATAACAGGTGGACAGACCCACATCCTCGGAGACCCAGGGGTAGTTAGTCGGGTCAATAAAATGTTTGTGGTGAAAGTTTACTGTAAGATGGAGACGAGCCCGTGGGCACTTACTCTTACCAAACCAGTTCCAGAAGCGTTTGAATTGCCTGCTTCTGATTGGCGAGAAAAATTTTTTCTTGCCAATCAGCCAAGAGAAGCTGCTGGGTGACTCTCGTGTTTTCTTACACGACGTAGTTTTCCTCATTTATCGCCATAGTTGCGTAGCGCGTTCAACGGGGAAAGTTTCAGAACAAAATGTTGACAACTCGCAAAATTGCAACCTTCAGCACGGTTACAATAAACAAACACTCTCCGATGAAGTTTTAGGGCGGATCTTTTCAAGGTAACGTAAATTTTTATTGCTGATACGATATGCGATGAATGACTTTCACTTTCCACACATTAATTTGCTCACATTGTCTAGTATAAAACGCCGTAAAGATGTCCATGTTCGTCTATTGATTGTGGGAATTGCTGGCTTGCTGCAGTGCACGCACCCTCTTGCTTTCGCGCCAAACTCCCTTACCGTACGTATTTTAAATACAGACGTCGTGTTTAATGCGAAATCTCTGTCCGGTTATGTGCTGAATCCTGACTTGTTAAGTGAGGTCAACTTTTGCAGGCTGTGTGGGTTTGTTTTTACGGATAAGCGAAGAAAAAAAAATAATGGTGAGTTTGCGAATGTTTGAAAGTGGTTGGTGTGAAAGTTTTGGAGGGCGATAAATGCGCAGTGTGTGACACGTGTAGGTATAGAGTTGAGAAATTGTGGAAGGGTGGGATGTCTATATAGATATTTTTGTAGTCACTAAAACTTTACAAGAAGCTAAGCTCTTAAGGAAATTCCAGGGAGAAGAGACAAAGGAATAGGGAAACTTTCCAAAGATCCAACTTCGGCTCTTGATTTCAAGGACCTGGCTCTCTGGCTTACTAAACCGCACAAGAGAACCTGGGTTAATCTTCACTTTGATTAGAATTATGGCTAATAAAGTAGAAATGAATTTTTATTATAAGATATCTTTCAACAAATACATGTATAAAAGTAATTTCACATAATATCTGATTTTTTGCCAAACTATTTATCTATGATTGGCTTGATGTTTTCACTTATTGACCCCCTCAAACACATCCACAGTGCCATTGTTTTAACTCCCTTGCAATTGATGGTACAAGATTGGACTTATTTTGAAAGAATAATGCTGAAATATAAACAATTTTCCTTTGTTGCATTTGTTTGATATTTCGTAACTTCCCTATCATAATTCTCCTCATCTGATAATAATATATTCCTTCTTGATAATTATTTTTTATTATCTTTATACACCCTCTTCAAAAAGGTAAAAATGTTCATTGCATGGTCACCATACCACACAGTGTCTCTAAAATACTTTCCACACAACATAATCTCTTACAATTATCAATTTTTGCTTAGCTGTAGAAGACAATCAGAATACAAATTCCAGAATACAAGTAGTGAAGATTTGATTCTTGAAATTCTTGTCTCAGATCATCTTGATTTTCTTTAAGCAAAGAGTCTTTGGCACTGATGTTGCAACATAAGTGGTTTGGAATGATTCCGCTGTTTTCATTACTGTCATCATAAAAGTAAGGATTTTTTTCTCTTCTGCAGATTGTACACTTAATAAAAACTAAAAGAAGAAAGACTTTTAGAATTATCGAAAACAGTAAGTGACCATTTCAGCACCGTTCCCTTTTTTCCAGGGAGTGTTGGAAAACAGTTTTTGTATGTTATGTGTAGGTATACCATATTTACTGGTGTATAATGTACACCCGAACATAATGCGCACCCCATTTTTCTAGACAGTTTTCAAATAATATACTCAAGTATACTTGTTGGCCACCTAGTAAAACAAACCCTTTGGAGCAGAAAGAATCACCAACAAATACCCCAGCATAAACGTTTATTAACAAATTTCAATAAAATAAAATATTACAGCTCCCTAGTATTTACATAACTCAACCAGTATTATAAGCGGACTTGGATCTCCAATAATGATAAAGTAAAAAAAAAATCTCAACAGCTTAAAAACAAAATTAATGTAATGGCATCTGTAGTTCTGTATTATGGGATTTTTTTCCGTTTATAAT